AGAGATCAACCCCAATTTTCAAAAACCCTAGCCTCATCATAATGACCCGAGGAGCATTTCGGCGAACCTCGTCATGGAACGACGCCATGGTGCAATGCCAGCTGTCTGGGATCCTGAGCAGGTAGGAAGTTGGACTGCAGTTGCAGGGTTTCGAAGTTTTGGGCTTTGAGGGCTTCCAAGATCGACAAATTCAGAGGCACTATTTTTTATTCTAGAGTCTGGCAGTGCTTACAGGAGTAGAGGTACATGAAGACCTCATGGATGTTGGATTCGATCCACATGTCATTCGTGTCCATCTGTAGAAATAGCTCGCGATCACTTTTGCCCATTTCCACAGGGCGCCTGGAGCGCAACTCCCCCCGCCCTTCCATAGGCAGTTCACACCAGGTCTGGTAAACTTGTAGCAGGGCAGCAGCAAACTCCGGAGTGTAGATCCTTAATATTGCACATGTAGAAAGCCATGCTAGGTTTGACAGCAGGTCACGGAACCAGAAAACCCAGCCAAGGAGCCCAGAGATTTTGAGGGCATTCTTATCCCCAGTGAAGCGCCGCTTTCCATTCTTGTCAATAATTTTACCTGCAAGATCGAGGGCAGGGCAGGTGTTCAAGCTTCGCCCCGGGTCTCAACTGGGAAAACCTGCGCACATTATATGCATTGTCTGGATCTATAGCCAAAGCACGGGTGGTTTTCACGGTCGTGCGCTTCAGTCGCTCTTCTTTGGTAAGCTTGCCCAGGTCGAGGAGGGAAAGGCTTTGCATGGGGCTGTAGCAGACAGTGGGCTTTGCGCAACCAGCCCCATGTAACATCATCCAGAATGAACACTTGAACACCTTGGCTAAGGATGTGATGGAAACTCTACAGCAACAGCTACTGTCAGCAACATTCTAAGAACACACATGAAGCACTAATTGGATTCATTGCGGCAACGCAGCTCTGACGACTCTGTTTGTAAACCACTCCCATCGCGCGTGCCGGCACAACAGGCTTTGCCGAGGTTGTTCTACCACAAATGTGGCATATTTGCTGAGTGCTACAAGTAGCAACAGTACCACCCTAAGTTAGCAGAAGCACTCCGAGGGAAATACACTAAGACCACTTGCATGCACGTAGACAGACCAAGCTAAATAGGCGCAGCAAAGATGCCGGGACACCAGGGTATTGTTTCTGGAAACAAACTCTCGCTGTGTCTGTCCATGTGGGTTGATATACGAGCGACCGCTTGTAAATCTGCAGGGCATTCCCCATGAGCTGCAATCAGGTCCAATAATGTTCACAGCGTCCGGAATCTCGTTGAGTACGACCCATAAGGCCAAACTTAGCAGGATTCAGTCTAGCACACAGCCTATGCAAATGACCTGCCTACATTCCCCTTAAACTTACTGCCCAGCCACGCAAAGCCTGCGCTGGAATTGAAATCCATTTCTTTGGATCCTGTCAAGATATCGTAGGATGCCACGTTGTACCCCTTCTCCTTCCTCAGATTGCAAACATATGTGCACATGTTCAGCAAGTGAGCCCTTTCCCAAAAGCAGAAGAAGCCGACAAAATCAGACAAGCAACCAGACCCTGGACACATTTCCAGCCCCGCTGAACAGGTCGAAGACTTGAAATCGTTCAGTAAAATCGAGATTGTCCATCCACAGTAGCAGCAGCACCTGAATGCAATTGATAACGCATGCTCGCACCACAGCAGGTTGGGAGACGCAGCTTCGAGATCAACTGCATCCACAAGTCGCTGACAGTTGCCACCAACACCTGGGCAGCAATGATGTGAGGTAAAGCTGGAAATTTATCATGGGATCAAGCAGATACGGTCCGCTGTATGCATGCTGAGGCACCTTTGGAGCACCCAGTTGGATCAGGTTCATAACCATAGAGCTCAGCATGGCTTAAGTAAATCCACCACACACTTCAAAAATGCAGCTACGCAAAGACCATGGATCAGATTCAAGCGTGCAGAATTCGCAGCTAAAAGTTCATTACCGATAAGGAGCTGGGAAGCCGCAACCTGCATGACTTAATTGCTAGAGGCTGCATTGGCTGCATGGGTTGATGAACAGATTGTACTACATGCACACATGTAGGCCAGCCAGGTGCCAGGTCTACACTGCAGTAAGCTTCGGAGTGCCACGCACACGCACACACATGTGAGGCTTGCAGAAAGAACCTGACCTCGATTAAATTTGATTTTGAGGAGCCGACCGACACCCTAGACCATGACCCCAGAACCTCTATAAACCCAGTATAAGAACTTGGCCTGAACCCCATAAATCAAAAACCAGAGCCATGCCCCTGCACCAGCTACGCACATGCAGAGCAAAGGAGGGCATGGCAGACCTTGCATCGATGCCCGAACACGCCATCCTTCAACACGTTCTTCGGCCGAAGATACTGGCATCCTGGCAGGAGGACACTTGACCCTGTAACCTTATAAGATTAACAACCTAGCTTGATTGCAGCGCACACTGTTCTTCTGGACTGGAAGCAGAATGCAGCAACTTTCTTCGCAGACTCGCAGCCAAGTGGTAGCACAGGTTGCGTTCAATGATGAGCTTTGAAAAGCGCCCCTCCCCATATGTTGCACGATGTTATCACCGCACAACAAAAATCAGGCAATTCTATTCGAAGAACAAGCCTGACATAACCCTCCGCAACAGTATTTGTTGCTTGCGAACCCTACAAAGCTTTGCGAGCTCAGTCACACTCATGATACGCCTTAGCTATTTGCACAGCAGAAATCAATCAGCGCATATTGCACACAAGCTTTCGCACTAAGACTTGACAACAAAAGGGCTCGGAACTAGACCAATCCATTTGTAACGCTAAGCTACCTTCCTTGCTGCCTCTTTGATGTCAGCTTCGCTGAGTCCATCGTTCTTGGCCTGAATCCGTGCCTTGTGGTATGCTGAGCTTTTCCTGCTTGCCTTGGCTTTCCGCTCAGCCTCCTCAGCTGAGTCGGCTTCCTTACTTCGCTTCTTGCTTGCTTCCCTGGCACCCTTGGCTTTTGCCTTTGCTTTGCCCTTTGCCTTGGGCGCTGCCGCCTTGCCTTTCCCCGTCTTTGGCTTAGCTGTTTCTGGTTCATCAACTCCTTTCTCATTGTCATCCTCCTTGGGATCCTTGCGACCCTTGCTGGATTTGCGGGGTCCAGCATCATCTTGGTTATTGGAACGTTTCACTGAGGCGGCTCTTGGGGCGCTGGGTGACCCAGGTGCATCCTCTCCTCCATTTTTGTCGCCTCCCCGTCCCCGTCCTCTTCCCCGACCTCTGTTGTTCCCACTCCTTCCTCGACCTGCCTGTCCGCTGCAACCCCTTCCTCTTCCCCTTCCTCCTCTTCCCCTTCCTCTGCCACCACCCCTGGCCCTGTACTTATGCCCACCTGAAGAATCTGCATCGGCATCTCCTTCACTATTATCATCATCCCCATCCTCGCCCTCCTCCGCCTGCTCATCGTTCTCTTCCTCCTCCTCTACACTGATCTTCTTCTTTTTGCCCTTTTTCTTAGTTTCTGCATTGGTAACCTTCACTTGCTCTGCTGGTGAGATAGCAGGCCTCTCATCGACTGGGCACGGGGGCAGTACCTTAGATATTATTATACATTTAAAATTAGATTCAAGTAGATTGTGATCGAATCTGAATTTATAGTGCGGTAGCACGAGCTGAATGCAATAAAGGGACAGAATCTTCGGCAGGTGGCTGCATCTTAGGTTCTTCCGAAGTAACCCCATCTTTTCCAGACCCTTGAAGATCCCCAGTTGATCCCTTCAAATCGCCCTCCTCTTGATCAGGAGCCGCGGTGGCATCTTCAGGATCAGGGCTATACGAAGGCATCGGACACGTATCCATGTCATCATAGCCTGGGCTCAGTAGGGGCCAGTGTTCTGGGTTAATTATGGGAGATGCGCACATACCCTCATGAGTTGCTCTATTCCAACCAGGGCGCCATATGGAAGTGTGGGCGCTTTCCGCAAAGNNGTTAGTAGCTACCGACTCCTGGGCTTCCTGCGGCTCATGATCCTGCTGCACTGAAGCGCTAGACTTTGCAGTAGTCTCAGGTTGCTGTTCATGTGCTGCAACTTTTTTTCCTTCAGGTTCAGGGGCCATGGGGATTGTTGCTGGTTCGGGAGCCGTGGGCCTCGTTGCAGTTTTGGGCTCTTCAGGGGTTGGCTTTGCAACGTGGGGCTCCTCAGGCACCGGATTTACAGCTTTGTTGGAAACAGACTTGCCATCGCCGGACTTCAAAGCCGCAGCTGCATAAGCTTCTGCAACAGCCAAGGACTCCTGCTGCTTCAGCAATTCCTGGAGCACCTTCTCCTCGTTTTCAAGTTGCTGCAACAACAACAATTGTGTAAGGTTTTCCTCCTCAACCTGTAGATCATGCAGTTCTTGGGCCAAGCGCTGGTCATTCTCAATCTGCATTTGCTGAGCTTCCCAACTTTTCTCACACACTGCATTTAGACTTGGGGTTGGGGTAGTGGGCGGTACACAAGGGCTCGCCCTAATCTTTGCAATGTCACCCAGCTTCCCACAAATCAGGCACTCATATCCATGCCTTCGTTCCTTCACAGTGTAGTGCAGACCCTTGGCCCTTGCGTCAGATTCTGGCGACAGCGCACCTGTAGCGGCCAGAAACCCTAACATGTGCAACATGCCACAAACAGGCAGCTCCAGCGAACTTTCATGAACCCTTTAAAACCTACACCCCCGGCCTAAACCCTGACTAAACCGCGTCATGGAGGCAAGATGCGAATTCGTGGCGGCGGGGTCACGATCTGGCTCGAAGATGCTGAACCTGGGATAGATTTTGGATAGCTATAGGGGACAAGTTTACAAATTCATGAATAGTACCGTCAAATATGGTTTAAGTTATACAACCTAGCAACCATCCATACGAGCGCCAGCTCGGCCAGAATCTCGAGAGCTGGGACGACCACGGGGGCTGGGTGTGGTAAAGGCAGTTGGTGGTAAGTAAAGGTTCCTACTTGTTGTATTACGGGTCGAGGTCTTGGGCCTGGATTCTGCCACAGGGGTCGAGGGCTTGGGCCTGGATTCTGCCACAGGAGTCGATGGTTTGGGCTTGGG